CGCGCAGCTAGAGCAGCAAAGATGCTTCAGCAGCGCGTCAGAACTAAACTTGGACAAACACCAAAAATGAGGCAGCACGTGCATTTTTGCTGCTCCTGCTGAGTTCGGTCTGGGCGTAGCATTAGAAATCCTTCCTGTTCAAAAAGGCGATGACATCTGTTGCTACTGAGCGTGTCGCTCTCTGCAATCGAAAAACAAAGACCTGGCTGTTTGTTGTGTTTTCTGTGTTTTCCTCTACGACCCATTTCTCAAACCTTTCAGACTGTTTGTCTGAAAAAAAAAAAACTAATTTGTTTGAAGAAATCCGAGCAGAATTTTTGCCTTCTTGCTTCCGTAAGAAAACATATCAATATCAGAAAAAAGCAAGTCTCTTAACCGTATGTCCTTCAAACAGGTGTCTCTGTGTTCATACCTTAATATGTGAGCTACTCTTGAAACCCTCGAATGTGACAGATTCCCTCCTACCACTGTTAGAGTTGTAAGTATTCATTAAGACCTCTGAAATTACAATTTGCTGTATAATTTGAGAAAAAAAGTGGTAACGGATCTGTTGAGCAGCTTTGTTTGCTGCCATCAGGTGGTCAAATCAACAATTCAAGAATGTTTTAAGGTCTAAAACTGAAAAATAATTCCAGGAGGAATTTTGTTTATCCAGAGTTTAGAGAAGAATATTTTAACCAGTGAGTCATTTGCATGTAAAGGTTTCCTCAGTTACCTTTAGACACGATCGTGTTAACGTGTTTGCAGAACTATCTTCTGTTTGTTTTTTTTCTGCATCCTTTGTTGTATTTTTATTTTCTACGGATGACGTTTCGTTTTTAGATAATAAAGGTTTTTTAGTGAGAAAGCCAAAATGGTTACCTGACCTCCTACAGCAGGTCCATGGCTCGGTATCCAGGCAGAGGCTCAGGGCACCTTAACCACGCTGAGCTGTCCTACCGCATGAACGACGGAAGACAGAGGACACTTCTGCTCACTGATAAAAATCAACTCTGCTCCTTTGAACGCTGAAAACACTGAAACGTTACACTTCCCACGACACAAGAATCACTTCACACAAAAACTTCAGTTACCCAACAAGTTGTAACACGCAAAACCTAACATTTAGTCCCCAGGGGGTTGGCAATGCAAATCCCTTCTCTTGTTCTCCCTTTCTTTTCTTTTTCTTTTCTTTTGTTTCCTCATTGTTTTTTTCTATCTTTGCTTTCCCACTCCTGAGAAGAGCAGCTTTTAGGGTTTATATCATTCCTGTTGTCTTTCAACGAGTGCCTGGGGCCAAATTGCTGAGAGTACACAAAAGCCAAGGCTTGAATGCCAGAGGGCTTTCTCAACAGATGAAAGAAGTCTGAGACACTGGAAGGTTTATTTGGCAATATATAAATGAAGACAATTGCATTGTCAGTAAATGTGAGTGACAGCTTCAACAGCTAAGCAAGATTTATTGCATTGAACCATCCCGACAATCAAAGCAAGGGGAAATTAAAAAGACCACAAATAAAAATGCGGCGAATATCCACAGCACACGATATTCCTGATTAGCACGCCATTTCTCACACATTGTTCAATTGTCAGCAGCTTTTCATGACAGGGCACCCACGGTGAGTTTCCTACCTGCTTCGCTGTCATGTCAAGACAAGTGTGAAGCAATGCATAAACAAATGTTTGGGGAAATGTTTCACAGTTAGCAGTATTTGCTTAGGGATGATAAAACAATCCAACGCGCTTGCACCAGCTAGAGCGCGTCTGCCCACAGGGCCTGGCTCGGCCTTATCACCCAAAGAGCTTCCAGCAAAGTGTATCATAATTTAAACAAACCGCATCTCATCTATAAAGGTTTAAAACAACCCATCAATTAATAATCTGATTTGGCGTTTTACAGACACCGCTCTTTGAGAGCCGATAAGTTGAATTTAAAAGAGCTTTGAAACAATAATGTTTGAAATAGAGGATAAAAAAGAAGAGTAGCTGCTGCTCCTCCACCTTCCTCCTGCTCTCTGTACTGACCTGGTCGGGCCGGCTGGAAGTGCAGGAATCCAAAATCGCTCACTGCCTGGAACAGTTCTGCTGACACAAGTCATAGTGACTGGCTCTCCCTCTTCTCTAACGCCTGTCTTTTCTACTCTTTCAGTTACCTCTGACCCAGCCACCCCTCCACCAATCCGCCCCTACACCCCCTCCACCCGTCTCTCCCTCTCAGGAGGGAAAGTACAAAGAGCCTCTTCAAATCCCACCGCACAGGCTCCGTATTTGCATAATTAGCAGGCTGTTGCAGGTAAGCCTTCCTGTAGCACCGCCGCGCGCGATACTGATCAGCCAACCAACAGGTGTGATTTTCATACGATAAACGCCTTCATCAGGAGGTGCACACTTTCTAACAAAGTCGGCTTTATCTGTAGATATGATTTCCTGGACACATGACCACAGACCTGGAGAGCCAAGCCAGAATAATGTCTGAAAGCTGTTTCCACATTCAGGGAAAGAAGAAAAAAAACAAATATATGATGCTGAAGATGAAGGGAGAAAAGAAATGCTTCAGGGTTTATGTTTATAAGAGAGTCATGACAAAATTACACTAACAGCTACATTTGTTTGAAAATCTTCATTTTTTGCTACAGTAATAATAGAGGAGAGGCGCTAAACTCACTCACATTTCAATCACATTTATACATTTCATTTTATTAAATAATTGAAGGACTATGTTAGTTCTTGTTGTTAAATCCTGACCAAAGACAAACTTTCTTCCTGTTCAAAGGGAGTTTTTCCTCTTCACTGTCGCTACAAGCATGCTTAGTGTGAGGGATTGCTGAAGAGTCAATGAGTCGATGCAATCAACTGGTTTTCCTTAGATAGAAAACTTTGAATC